AAAAAAATTCAATCACCCAGACAGAACTACCCACATCCTATTACCATGGTGGGAAAACAAACAGAAAAAAAGGTGGGTTCACGAGTAGCTGATGTGACGCAGCATGATCATCTTCCACAATACGCATGAATAAACTCGATTTTTAATTAAATTTAATATTGGGCAGTTTTCTGAAAAAAGTCAAACCAATCACATTTTCATTTAGATCACGCAATTTTAATGATGAATTTCCATAAGAGCATAAATACATTTTTGAGCTTAACTCAGATGCTTGCAACTAAGCAGCAGCACACTACTGCTTTTGCTTACTTGGATAAACATGAAAAATAACTTGTATGAATGGATTTGGCTTACTCTGATAATATTCCATATAGTAATTATTGAAATGAAACTGATCATCATAAACAAAAATTGTATCACGTGCAATTAAGTTCAATTTTCATCCTTCATTTGGTGACACCTTAATCTCCCCCTCCATGTGCAACTACAGTGAACTGACTGAATCTGTAACACGTCTGTACACCTTTCAATCTAGCCTGAAACCTTAACTCAAGTATACACACCAGACTTGGGGGTGTCAGTATGGCAGGGTCTGGTCTCTGTCTTATGTCTGCTGCCTCTAGATGTTGCTGAGTCCACATTCGGGGCTCACTCTCATCATAGTCAGTGATTGCAGTGTGGTCACTTGCATAACCTGCCTCACAAGCACGAATTCTTTTGGGTGGTAGATCAGACTCATCATCCGACCACTGGGGACCACCACCATGCTGACCAACCATGGTGTGTGGAGGTATGTCCACATCAATGCAGCCAGGAGGCTGTTTATTCAGGTTGCGCATCTCCTGCCCATCCGGCCCCCGTCGACGAGACTGCCGCCGCTGTCCGCTACAGAACGGACATAATGGATAAGAACTGAGAAGAGATGCTACATATACATGAACCGATCTGGCATGAAATGTAGTCACTGTGACAATTTAAACACTGGTAGAAAGCAATAAATGCTGACATCATTGTAATAGCAAAGCACAGCTGAACTTAATATCACCAGTTACAAGATAAATCGCCATAGCATATTGCCCCCTCCCCCCGCACAGAGTTATTCAGATAGACAAAAATTTAATTACCCAAATCATGTTACATGAAGAGTATAAATTGTTAAGTTCATTACATCATTCATCCATTCTCATGTAACTTCATCTCTTAGAAGTCTAATATTCTAAATACATAAGATAAAATGTGTACATTCCTAAAGATAAATATTCTAAATTATATACATGTCTGACATGAACCATTTTTCACAAAATGTTTCCTAATGCATGTATAAGACGAGAGAGAAAGGAATGCTTTTTTAAATCCAGTTATGAAGCCAATTCATATATTTTCCTGCACATTATGAGAGTTTAGAACACATATGCACACTAACCTGTTGTTACGGAAGAAACCTTCAGGAAACCACGTAATGCCTTGCGCACGTTTTCGCTGAGCAGCCACCAGAACTCCAATCAGAAGACCCACCAAAACAACCAACACTACTCCAATGACCACATACTTCATGTTTGTTGCAGTCTCAAGTGGTTCTGATGCAGTCACACCCCTTACTTGATGTATGTGGAATGACGTCACCAGCGAGTGCCTGGCCGCCGATGCCGCAATATAGTCGGCAGCCTGAAACGTTCCACATATGCATGTAAGCTCGCTCTCTTCAGTTATGTATCTGGCACTGTATCAGTGATCTAGCACATTTCTAACATACTGTCACATGATAGGCATCTCTTCAAAAGTAATCCTAAAATATCTGCTTCTTTTTTCAATACTTCACAGCTACAGTGTTTCCTGAGTATACAGACACAGGGCAGAGTCCTCAGAAGAAGCCTTAGAGTTAATATATTACAGAAAAGTTGTTCCTGTTGTTGAATTCCATACAATTTTAACCTTTATTGTAACTAAACGTAAATGGGCAATTAGTGCGACCATCTCTTTCTTCAATATTTCCCATTCTGATGAAAATCAATATAACTAACCTACAAACAGATAATACATTAGTCACACTGGTGCATCAATGTTGGCAACTCACCTCACTGGCTGTTTGAAAGCACCCTGACCCCTCAACAACTGTGCATTTGCGGTTGTCAAGTTCCAGATATACCATCACCCCAGATGGACTGACGAAAGAGTCTTGCCCGTCACGTACTGTTTCCTTCCAGGGGTAGATCATGTCATTGCCCTGGTCATCCTTCTTGATTCGCACAGTGGTTCGCAGATTGTGGCCCATCTGCAAAAACCACATGGTTGGTGCAGTCTGCTGTAGCAACAGTTCTTACTGAACACAGGGACATTTAGCCACACTCACCTCCCGCAGGAAGGCAACAACGTTCTCACGGAAAGGCTGAACGCTCATCAGCACCACGACAGACATCATCCCTTCTGCGAACTTGGGCTGCTGCTCTTCACAGTCCAGACCATCCCAGTTGCACTCTTCATTGTTGCAGCCATAATCGCAGTGGCCATTGGCGTAGTGTTTCCGGCAGTATGCATCATAGATAGGGCTGCGGCAAAACACAACAGCCATTGTAAGAACAAGTTAAATACCATTTTCACTCATGGTGAAATTCACTACATTGATCACAAATACGTATGTATTAAAGAAAATAAATTTTTATTTGTTACACGTTTCTTGAGCCCTCAAGCATGTTTTTTTAAATCACCACCATACTACTCGTCAATATCCAAACTGCTGCGTAGTAAAATGTTCAGACACGGTTCAAGACACTGTCACAGCATTTGTCAACCAAGATTTGAACCAGAGCTCCCCTAATTATAAAGCAGGAGTGCTAGCCACTCAGCTGCGATGTTGGCACCTAACTTGAATAAATCAGAGAAATTTTAAAAAACAGAACTTACTTGCAAGGGCTGACATTCTTCTCACAGTCACGACCATCGAACAAGCACTGTGGATTGTTGCACTCCATGTCACACTCCCCATTCATAAACACTTTCGAGCATCTGATGGGATCCGTGCAGTTGCGCCACGGGGCGATGCCCAGGGAGCAGTCATTGCCATCAAAATTGCAAGCATATGTGTTGCAATCCTCATCACATTTCAGGTTGCCTGACTTCTCTCTGCATCCATTGGCGGCACACTTTGCACGCTGCTCTTCCAGGTCTGAATCAACTGCAGAGATGGTGTTGGTGGGGATGCGGCTGGGTTTGGGCAACACAGTGTGACCCCACCCTGCACGGAAGCTAGGGTTGTAGATGTCGCAATTCTTTCCCCCCCACAAATCAGGACAGTGACAACCATAGTCTCCCAATCGATCCTGGCAAAGTGCTCCGCTCTTACATGGATTACTTGCACACTCATTCCTTGCATCCAATTCACAGAACTTTCCTGCTGTACCAGAGGGACAATCACAGCGATAACCACCCCCATTCACTAGCACACATGCACCACCATACTGGCAAGGATTTGAGTCGCAATCTGAACCAGAAAACTCACAGTTCTTGCCATAGAAGCCCTCTTGACAAGCACACGTGTGCCCTTGCTCACGGGCATTGCAAATTCCTCCATTCTGACATGGAGAGCTGTCACAGAAGTTGACCTTGACCTCACAGTGGTGACCCATGAAGCCAGGCTTGCAGTTGCACACATAGTTATTCACAAGCTGTACACAATCCTGTGTACCCTGTGATGAGCAAGGGTTTGACAGACACTCATTGATGTCTCCCTCACAGCGTGGTCCCACAAAACCTGGTGGGCAGCGGCATTCGAATCCTCCAACACGGTCCATGCAGGTCCCATTATTGTGGCAGGCTCCAAGCACACAGTCATCCACGTTGATCTCACAGATGATGCCTAATGTTCCTAAGGAACAGAATACACTTGATCAGCCAAAAATCATAACTCAGTTAGAGACCCACACCAGAAATAGACAAAAGTAACTACAGAAGGATAAACGGTACATACATACACCTACAAATACATTTAGCCAAAGAAGTAACTACAGAAGGATAAACGGTAAGGGAACAAACTTCCTTCATACACCTACAAATACATTTAGCCAAACAAAATTCAGGCATACAAGGGATATTAAGTCAGGAAGAAACAAATAAAATGCGCTAAAACCTTCAATTACTGTTTAAGTTAAAAGAACAATTAAGTCAGGAAGAAATAAATAAAATGCGCTAAAAGCTTCAATTACTGTTTAAGTTAAAAGAACACATTATTCAAAAATATATAACAACTGTGACAGCTAAAGATGACACTAAATATAAATGGCAAAAATGAAAAATTTAGAAGTCAACGAACAGGTATGTGTAACATTCATCTCAAACACATTATCTACGAATATTACATTCTGGCACAGGAGAAAGACAAAGTAAATCTCAAAAAATGTATCACATAAATAATTTTCAGGATTCATTGGCTCATTTGATTTTCACATACTTCGGTTACTTCCCATTCTTTAACATGTACATATATATATATATATATGAGACCAGCAAGCCATACATGTATGTGTGTGTGTGTGAGACCCATTCTCAACCGAGAAACTGACTTTCATAAAATTTTGTATGCCCCTGGATTCCACAAGAACCTCATGTTTCAACTACATACAATCAGCAATGACAGCTTGGCAGTTGCACAAACTAATCAGGTGAGAGGGACGCTAATGACACATAACCTCGTCATACTACGAGGATGCGGGCTAGATTGTGACTTGGAGGTTAACAATGATGGTGATGAGATATGCTTGACCTCAAAATTACCTGGGGGGCAGGAACAACTGAAGTTGTTGACAAGGTCATGGCATGTGGCCCCATTCTGGCAAGGATTCGGCTGACAGTCATCCACATTGAGTTCACAGTTCTGTCCTTGGAAACCCTTTGTGCAGTGGCAGGAATATGAGCCAATCAGATCCTTGCATGTGGCACCATTCTGGCACGGTGCAGACTCACACTCATTGATTTCATCTTGGCAATAGCTCCCAGTGTAGCCATCCTGACAGTGACAGCGGTGGCTATTGCCTATGTCCTCGCATGTCCCATTGTTGCAGAGGTCATCCTTTGTCACACCTGAAAATAACTAAATTGTCAGTATTGTTCTTGGATAAACACAAGTGGTACAAACATCACCGCACAAAAGACACAAACCTTTGCGTATAGCCGCATCACTGCAGGAAACCATCTCCACATCACAAACCTTGCCCGTCCAGCCCGGTCCACACACGCACGTGTACATATTATCTGTCTGTTTGCACGTTGCCTGGTTCATGCACGGTTCCGTACTGCACCAGTCCACATACGAGTCACAGCGCTTTCCTGTGTAGCCATAGGGACAATGGCACGTGTAGTACTTGATCTGATCATGACACGTGGCCCCATTTAGGCACGGATGGCTGTCGCACTCGTTGATGCGATACTGACAGTTGGATCCTGTGTACCTGTGACACACAACACCGGATGTGAGTAGAAGTGTAAAAGCAACAAAAAAAAAAAACCAGCCTGCACTCTGCATAGACACCACGACACTAACCCAGGCTGACAGATGCATGTGTAGTTGTTGATGCCATCGACACACTTTCCTCCGTTCATACAGCTACTCTCAGTGCAGTCCTCATCGTTGGTCTGACAGTTGATACCCGAGAAGCCCAGTGGACACGTGCAAGTATACGAGTTGACATACTGGTTACATGTGGCACCATTGTGGCACGGAGCCGAAACGCATTCATCGACATCTATTTCACAGTGCTTGCCTCCGAAGCCATCCACACAGAGGCACGTGTAGTCACCAATCCCATCAAGGCATGTTCCACCATTCTGACAAGGAACTGAAATCAAGATTCCATCAAAATTTCTGTTACGTAATAATGGGGTAAGGCCCCTTGTAAGCACAACAATTCTCAATCTTGCAAGTTTGTCCTTTGGAGTTGTTTTTACTAAACTGCTCTGTCATTCCGCCATAATGGAACATTTCTACTGTATGTATAAAAACTGCAGACATGACCTCTGCAAAAGGACCAGTACTCACACGAAGCACAATCATCGGTATTGATGACACAGTCTCGACCCTCGTAGCCCTTTGCGCAAACACAGTGGTATGAGCCATTTGTGTTGCGACAAGTGGCGCCATTACGACACGGTGAGGACACGACACACTCGTCCACATCCTCATCACAAAGGCGGCCCGTATAGCCCAGACCGCACGTGCAGGCAAAGTCGAGAAAATTGCTGGAGGGGGAGCAGCGGGCCCCATGGTGACACCTGTCATATAACAAGAGCAAAAATGTTATTTAACATGTCTAGTGGCAAGAAGTGGAATGACATTTTTTTGTTGAGCGCTTCCTCACCTGTTTGGGGAACACGGGTCAAGTTTGTCCCAACAGTCTCGACCTGTGTGAGGCAATTCACACACACATTTGTATGCATTTACAAGATCAATACAAGAACCTCCATTTTTACACGGGTTTATGGCGCAGTCATCCACATTGGTCTCGCAGTTTGCGCCCGTGTAGCCGGGCAGACACTCGCAAGAGTACGCATTCAGGTGGTCTTTGCACATGCCTCCGTGCTGGCAGGGGTTTGAGCCACATTCATCAATATCTTGTTCACACTGTTTACCTGGAAACAACACACAGCTTCATGACATCTCTGACGCAGACTCAAAGTTCCTGATCACCAACATCCGTACTGTCAAACTCACCACCAAAGCCAGGAAGACAGCGGCAGATGAACTGGTTCACGCCATCTTCACACGTTCCTCCATTTTTACAAGGATTACTAGCACACTCATCCACATCACTGAGACAGCGTGCGTCATAGTAACCACGCGGACATTCACACTTGAAACCATCTACGAGGTCCATGCAAACACCTCCATTTGCACACGGATTGCTGGCACATTCATTGATATTGGTTTCACAGTGCTGACCAGTAAATCCAGGGATACAATCACACGAATACCTTTGTAACAAACAAAAACATCATGAAAGCTCAGCATCTCACCAAGTTGTACCTTCTGATTAATTGCTGCAGAATGCTCCAAACAGCAAAGACAAACTATCATCTACTCACCTGTTTATGCCATCTACACACTTTGCACCATTGCGACATGGATTGCTGTAACACTCGTTGATGTTGATCTCGCAGTTAGGGCCCGTGGTGCCCGACTTGCAGCGGCACTGGTAGCCATTAATGAGGTCCTCACAGTGTCCTCCAAACTGGCAGGGGTTGCTCTCACACTCATTGACCTGTGTTTGGCAGAGGTACCCAGTGAAACCTGGGTGGCAGTTGCACGTGAATGAGTTCTCCCCATCGATACACTCTCCCCGATGGCATGGGGAGCTCTGGCAGTCATTTATGTTTGTTTCACAGTTGGTACCTGGCAACATACAAGAACCCATCAATGCCATATCCGTAGTCATTATAACCCATCCTCACCTCATACAAATTTGGCACCAGACTGTCTTTTTAAGCATCTGTGAACGGCCATGTACAAGCGGACAAGAACTTGGTAACAGTATTAATTACCGTTATTTGCTAAAATTTAAAAGTCTGCAAGAGAAGTTACACACATCTCACTAAACAGTAAGCAGCACTCACCAGTGAAACCTGGAGGACACTCGCACGTGTAGCCTGCGATGGAGTCGTGACAGATGCCGCTATTCCGGCAGGGGTTGCTCTCACAGTCATCGATGTTGATCTGGCAGCGATTACCAGTGAAACCAATCGCACAAACACACCGGAATGTGTTAATCAGATCATTGCATATGCCTCCATTCAGACATGGATCCAGCTGGCACTCATCAATATCAATCTCACACTGTGTGCCTGTGAAACCTGCAATAGAAAGTGCTTTGTTAAAGCCTGCTAATGATGGGGTGAGTCATCTCAACTAAGAACCAAACCCAGGTCTCTAAGGTAAGTTGAAGACTGACAACAATGTTCTTGTGTTGTTTAGACATCTATGCTTATTAAGTAGAATCTGAGGTTCTCACAGCAGTGGGTATAAAAATGGCTGTCTTCTGGGCTGTGGCACTGTGTAGTCCAATAGAAGTTCACCAACATTCCAGTGAACTATGCAGCCTCCGGAGGCATCAAGGTCCACTAAGACACTGGTAAACTTCCACCAGACTACACAGTGATACAACCTTAATCCATGCTCAACCTATGAAATAACCATCTACAAACAGCGTGGTCCTTCTTGAGAAGCTGGCAGTCATTCAATGAGATAAGAAATCCCCAGTCTTTTAAATTACCTTAATATTCATTACTGTTTTCATGACAGCCTGTATTCTGCACCAGATGAATACAAATGACTGTCACAACCGATTTCCTTAGGCTTCACTTTAGTAATATCCTGTCATCTATGCTCAGTTTTATTTGTGTCCTAGCTTTTATGTACATTTCTGAGATAGATCTGTCAACTGCAGCTGCAGGCACTTACCAAAGCATTCAGTCTTTGTGTAAGAAGCCGTCTGACATGCTATTCCGTCATCAGACCAATTTTCCTTTGTCCAAACTGATTTTCTTATGGTTGCAACAGTCAGGTATCCTGTCATTTCAGAATTACACTGACTCTAAATATGTAAAAGGACATAATGAGAAGTGAACCTTTTTTAGACAAGTCGTCATGCAAACGAATGTTCATTTCACTTGGAAGACTATCTTCTTCACCACCAGAATTATTAGGGTGATCATACGTAATCTGGTTAGGAAACCTGAAGGGAAAAAATCACTTGGAAGACCATGGCATCGATGACAGAAAAAATCTCCCGTGTATATAATGATGAACTCCGGATTCCACACGAGGCGGGGAATTTCTTGAATAACCAGAGCACTACCAACTTCTCATGAAAGAATACTCCCACGACCCTTTTTTCAACATAATATCTGTAAGTGCGTTTCGAAAATTTAGGAAGTCGGTTTTCACTTGTCATGTTTGTCAAAGTTCTGACGGATCAGAAATGCAAGAATTCCCATTTGTTTGGACAGAACCCCGGACGTTTAGTTCTCGCTGTTGGGATGTCAAGATGGCTCCAATCTCGAGCGACCGTCCCACATTCCTGTAGCGTGGCCTTGCTAGCACACACCGGCCAGCGTTGCCACATGGCATAAGGGGGCGAATATCAACGTCCACGAACATAGCGCGATGGGTAAATGCTGCCGGAGAGGCCATCTCTCCAGGTCCGAAAATGCCGGGGAATAACGCCCCCA